CTGTTATATATAGAGATTTTTTTTTGGAATATTGTGTTTATCCTCTCTTTCTTGAATTTTGATTAGGTGATTGAACCTTCTCATTCTGTTTTTAATTTTTTTTAATACATATATTTTATTGATTTTTTGCAGAGGAAGGGAGCAGGATAGAGAGTTAGAAACATTGATGAGAGACAAGCATCAATCAGCTGCCTCCTGCACACCCACTACTGGGGATGTGCCCACAACCAAGGTACATGCCCTTGACCGGAATCGAACCTGGGACCCCTGAGTCCACAGACCGACGCCCTATCCGCTGAGCCAAACCAGTTAGGGCTACCCTTTATTCTTTAAACTTTCTATAATGTGGCTTTAGGAAGATACTAAAAAGAAAAATGTTTATTAGTGTCCCTAAAAGTTTTTAGATTTAAATACACTAAGAGGTTGATAAAACATAAAAATTTCACAATTAGTTTTATTATTAAAATGTTTACAGAGTTTTATATGAAAATACAGAAAAAGACCTTTCTGATACTCAGCGACACCTTGCTAAGAAAAAATATGAGCTTCAGCTTACTCAGGAGAAAATTATGTGCTTGGATGAAAAAATTGGTGAGTTATTTTTTCCTGTTATTTCTTTTTCTTTAAATCTACTAGAAAAAAGCTTTCTTCTCTCAGTTATAACAAGATAAACTTGGAGATAGGCCCGTCAATTAAAAGTTTATGATTCTGATCATGGAAACAAAGTAGCAACACTTTCTAATTTATGATGGTCACTTTTAAATTTACAAGTTTCTCTGTAAAAATGTGTCTTGTTCATAGCAGTTTTAATGAAACATAGTACACATTTATATTACTTTTGGTGGAAAGTATACATATATTTGGCTATATCTATGATATTGGGTTCATAGAGAAAATTGTTTTTAAAGTCTGTTATTTATGTTTCTTACCATTTATCTCTATGAAAATATGGTCATAATTTAATATTTTTATAACTGTAAAGTAAAATTTTGATTATGACTATAAAAGAACCCATTTTAAAATAGAGGGAATATATGTACCGTATTTGCCGGCATATAAGACGACTGGGCGTATAAGACGACCCCCTAACATTTCCACTCAAAATACAGAATTTGTTATATACTCGCCGTATAAGACTACCCCCTCTTCCGCACACCTTCCACACACCAAATAAAAGGTAAAACAATATCAGATTTGATTTTAACATTTTAATTTATATTCAAATGCTTATGACATGCAGGAAAACTGTCACAAGGCTGTATGTAATCAAACATATACATAAAACAGTGCAAGTTTATTACCGGTAAACATACCGGTAATTCACTAAAGAAAACACACTCTATAGACTGGTACCGTAGATGCTTCTCAGGAACACAGGCAAGCAGCCCACAACCTAGAGGGACTGTCAATGATAGA